TTGTACTCCCTTTCTTTAATTCCTCTTTCTGAAATGAAGCTACAGGAGAGGTCCTGTGGAGGCTGAATAGGAGTTACACCCCTTCCCAGATCATGTTATAGGGCATGTTCTATAGCTGCCCTTCTTTGTACTATAAAAATCCATCCATTTTCTAAACGCTTCACCCAACTTAGGATATTGCTGCTGCCTATCCCCGCAAGCAATGGGTGCAAAGCAGGATACACCCTGGATGGGACATCAGTCCATAACAGTGCAAATGGACACAAACACACAAAAAACCCACACCAAGGCCAGTTTTCCCAGAAGCCAATTAACCTACCGGAATGTTTTTGGATTGTGGGAGGAAACATACAAACTTTTCTATATAGCACCCAGGGTACAGAATTGAATTTTACGCTACGAGGCAGTTGTTCTAACTACTGCACCACTACAGTGCCCTATCACTATAAAAACGTAAGAACTTATTTCAATGAGAGCAAAAGAGATGCCCTTTGCACCGACATGATGCTGGGCCAAATCTTCTTCATGCCAACAGCAAGTTGACGGTGGGGTGGCTCTGTGGCTAAGAATCTGTCTGGAAGGTTGCTGGTTCGTGTCCTGCAGCCGGCAGAGGAGTCCTACCCCGTTGGGCCCCTGAGCAAGGCCCTTATCCCCAACTGCTCCAGGGGCGCTGTGTAAATGGCTGACCCTGCGCTCCGACCCCAAGCTTCTCTCCCTATCTGTGTTTCTGTGTGTCTCATGGAGAGCAAGTTGGGGTATGCGAAAAGACAAATTCCTAATACAAGAAACAGTATATAGCCAATAAAGAGAACTTATCTTATCTTAAGTCCTGCTTTGTGCAGTTAGTAGGCAGCCACAAGTTGGCTGTAAATAAACACTGGGAAGCCTGTCAACATTAATGTGTAACAGGCAAGAAAAGTTTTTTGATGCAGCCATTACCCCCAAAGCATAGCCAAAGGAAGATGAAAAGGCTGTATCCTTTTCTCTGTGAATCAACCTACTCACACTGCCCTCTTGGTGCCAGATTCATTTTTATAGCCTTTCCCTGCAACAGTGCAGGAGATGTGACATTATCATTTCACACTTTCTTCTGAATACCTACAGATCACAAACAAGGATTCTTTAGAGTAAGCTAGCGGCCTCAGGAAACAAATATAAAGGCTGCCTTAAATTAACACAGATTCCAAGCAAAAAGCTAACTAAGACGTTTGCCTGAACTCTCCACTAAGAACAGAGAGATCAAAAGGGCTGGAATTTCAGGACCCCAGACTGAAACCCTACCATCCCAGAACTGGACTGGACAGGACACCAGTTCACACACACAGACACGCACACGCGCCAGGTCCAACATCCCCAGAAGCCAATTAACCTACCAGTATGTCTTTGGACTGTGGGATGAAGCCGGAACATCCAGAGGAAACTTGCGCCAACACAGGTAGAGAATACCAACTCCACTCAGGCAGCACCCCAGTAATTGAAACCAGGGCCCCAGTGCAATGCCAACCACTGTGCTAACTTGCCACTCTATCATTTTCAAGAAGTGCAAATAAGCCTGAACATCTGACAGCTGAGTTCAAAAGAAAAAGCAAAAACTTGAGTGAAGATGATGATGTCAGAGAACAAAGATAATATGCAATACAAGTTCTTCCTGCTTTGCAGCTCACTCCTCAAGGACTGTGCATAACAGATCCCATTACCAGACACCGAGAAGACATGCAATTAGAATGGCATGTATAACTTACAACACAAGAATTCTTTAGAGAGGTAGCCGTATGACTTTAGGCAACTTATTGCTTGCCTTGTGATCAGCACATTTTCCTGTAGCCCAAAAGCCTCCTTCACTGTCCTTGAGTTCAAGCAACTCTGCCATCATGAACTCTTTGTTGATGTTTGTTTTTGTTGTATTGTTGTGTTGGACCCCTGCTATATAAACACATTTTCCCCAGGGAATAATAAACTCTAAAATGAATTTGATTTCCAAAGTCTGCATCTGGACACAAAATGTCATTAATTTATGAGTTTGTCTTCTCCAGCAGTGTGACTAAGTTGCTGCATTAAATAGCCTTGCATTAATAAAGGGAAGGAGCTCAGACAGGTACATTGTTTGTCCAGGGGAAAAAAGTCAAAACAAATCCTTGTTATCCAAGTTATCCAAATATAATTCCAAGCCACCTGCTGAGCTCTTAAACAGCGTGCCAATTGGAAAGAATCTCTTATGTCCAGAACTCTGGCTGCCATCCAGTCATTGTACGATACTATTCTTCACCAAGCTACAGAGCATTCATATATGTGATTGTGGTCAGGACTTGATGGAATCATGCGAGCTATTGTAGTGAGCTGAAAAAAAAACTAAAAATACTTCTATTTTGGGTTTCAAATGTATGCATTCCATTATCAAATAGGTACTCAAAAATTGCTTTCCTATAGACAGCACAAGAAAATCTGACACACCACGATGAAATTCACATGAATGCAGAAACACAGAGTCACTTGCACCCATCTTAACAGAGAAGCATTTCATTAAGGGACTGTAGCCATAATTATTGAGAAGTGTACAATATAGCCACTGGACTTATGATCTTCTAGCTTTGCGGACAAGTACAATGGATGAATCAGATCAACAACTGAAGGTTAATACATACTTTTACACATCTGGTGAAACTCAAATTGTTACGTGATCACCATCAGCATTAATTCTGTACCAAATGAGACTAAACTTCCAGTGCTTGCACATTAGACATCAGACTCAAACTTTCCATTTTCTGCAACAGAAATCAGCAGGCAGGCAATGTTACACCCTGAAGTCATTCTGAAATTGTCGTGCTCCATATGTACAGTTGGTGAGATCTAAATGGGTTTCATGTTCGTTACACTAAACGTTATCTGTATCTGACAGTCCTCTGCTCTTTACTTGGTCTAAGATGCACAATACCGTTTCTTTCTTTCTACCTGTTTCCTTGTTTAAAAAAGGAAGATGTTTGTGATTACTTAGGTCACAGAGGTTAAAGTGTAGCTGCTGTTATGCTGTGCAGGATGTACCACTTCCAAAGAAAAAAAGGCTATTCTTCAGGGTTTAAAAGAGGAAGGCGCAAATTCCATCCCCACCAGTTGGAGAATGGCTTAATCATGACAGATATAACCTCTTTTTCCTGCACTGGCCCCTCAGTCAGTTCAAACTCTGTCTGCTTTTCAGCCCTGGAGTCTAATTAGCATTAAAGGAAAAAATAAAACAAAATTCAGCCAAGAAAAAGCAATATTTCTTTCTACACATCACAGAAGACCAACAACATTCAGACACATTTTACATGTTTGTAAGAAGTGCAATTGAAACTAAATTACTCTCCCTTTTGACATGCTTTAAAGTAAAATCTCTCGGTTTAATATAAACTGCAGGTATTGAGATTTTATTCACTGTTGGAGATTATTTTATAAAATAACATTTTTATGGACTTCTTAGTGCAATCAAATAATGTCTCTAAATTTTCATCCATTCTTAATCTCATCAAACATAAACTCGAAACACATCTTGCAATAAGGCTTTAATTAATAACTATTCTTTATTTCATCATTAGCTTTTACAAGAGATGATCAGTGAAGTTTAAAAAAACAAATAAATCAACGCACCAAGCTGTAGCAAAACTACAGTGTCCATCTCTAGGCTCTCAAATAATAGTACTTATTAATATTTAGCTATTTATATCCCAAAGGTGGGACTCAGTGCGCCCAGTACGGGTCGGTTCCGCCCTTACACAACAGATCAGGTAGCGGAGAGGAGAAAAAAAGTGCTTAACCCATTGAATTAATTAGGGATTTTATGCACAAATCCAGAGGGTATTTAGTCGGCATATCTGGGACAGTACACCTCCTATAATGAACAGCGCCTTCTCCGAATTTTTAATTCAAACTTATTACTAAAACAAAGCAATCCTTAGTAAACACTTCATTCGTGACAGTGTACAATAGCAAAAAGCATTTTACACGAAATGCGTCCACGAAGGTCCCGCTTGGCACGAAAAACAGAAGAGCAAAACCGTATCAGCGACTTTATCACCGTGACAGCGCAACAGCCGCACAGCGCCACCCTGCGGAACGCAGAAGCGAGTCAAGCAGACCTGCTGTGCGGAGCCTGGGTCTGTAGCTCTTGGGTCATTTCATTCCGTTGTCCACGCAAGGTCCCCTTGACGGAAGAGGCCCTGCCTGCCCTCCATCCACCTTTCATCGTTTTATATTGGAGTCTTAAACTATTGTTTTAAAAATAAATACAGGCCGTGCGAATAGATAGATGCTAACAGGACAAGAAGTGAAGTATTTTCTTTCCTGGCACAGAAAAACAATTCTATACTATTATGTACTACTATATTAAACACTATTCTTCCACCACCGAGAGTTGTTAACTGCTAAAACCAGCTCACAGCGCCTAACACCTTAATGTAATTATAATCATCATCATCATCCGTATGAAAATGAATGGTTTGATATGTGAGCCGATAGCGTTGCGCCCCAGTCTAATGAATGGACCATTAAATTGGTTTTCCTCCTCATTCAACAGCAAGTCGTGCTTCTACAAAAAGGAGCACTGCAGATGCTATGACATTTTTGTAATGATGTATTTTATGTCGGCAGTTCGACACAATCAAACAACTCCAAGATCAACACTCAGCCCACAATGCTCATGCCAAAATGATTCGAGTCAAAAAACCGTTTCAAGTTTTTAGTGTTGTCGTTCTTCATAATTCTGGCGTTTGTCATCGACTGTTTTTCATTCTGTCTTTTCCAGTCGAAGTGTTCTAAAGGTACTAACATTTTTTCTTCCCGAAAAAAAGTTGACGTTTCTACCTCTGGCCAATGCGCAAAGAGCTCCGTTTCGGATTACGATTACTTGCAATCAGGAAAATGGTAACCCAGTAGCAGTAAAAGCGAACAAAAAAAAAAACATGTATAGTTTTTAATTAAAAAATTCGTAGACAAATGACCTGTTAAACTGACTCGTTGACACTTACCCGGCACAACGTCAGAAGCCTCTGTCGTGCGCACTTGGTAGAGTGGAAAAGTTGCCTTCTTCCTTTCTATGGCTACTGCGTCTACAGACATGAAAACGGGAACTCGCAACTCCGTCCAGCTGCAAGCTCTGCTCGGTCTGCTCTTGCTGACGATCAGAGAGAATGTGGCTCGTACGCTCCAGAGGAAGTCTGACTCTTAAGAGCCCGCCCCTGTTCCCAAACCTTTGACATGCAGCCAACGTAACACGAGCGTTATACAGACGAGCTGCAATTGTACCCCGAGGCGAGAGACGTTAAAGGGGAAAACATCTTCGTAAGGCTTGAGGCAGGTATCTTGCCTGGGACAAGCGAACGACTCCTTCGGGATGGCATGGTCTTCATTGCTCACCGTCTGTTATCTCAAGAGATGCTGGTATAAAGACTCCAATGGTGAATTGTTATGTATTTATTCGGAGACACTGGGCAAACGACTTAACAAGCTTTATCTTAAAGCGTTCATCTTAAATTTAGCGCTGTGGCAAGTTATTCGTTTTCATTTCTGGCACTCTGGAAACACTAAGCTTGTTTTAAAACTTTCAACGTGTGTGTAGATTTTGAAACAGAAACGTTTTGAAAAGTATTGCAAGATCACCAAAATAATATTTGTCTATATTTACTTTTGAAGTATTTTAATCGCTTTATTATGGCATTATAAATGTTATGAAAATAGGCATGCAATGCATTTCATACAAACTATTTGAAAGTGAATTTATACAGTGACCAAAATCAGATTAAAGACATCACTTTTAGATTTTATTTAGCCCCCTTTTAAAGTCAAGCTGTTTTTGTCTGCCTGGGGCAGAGTTAACGATTCTGGCATCCTTGTTATTTTCACTGTGTAACAATTATAGTAGCAGTGAATTAAATCAAACAATCGTAAACACCTTGACCTGAAGTATGTTGAAGGATCAGTCAACAGGATGAAAGTTGTTAGGGTAAGCTGAGGAAACTCTACAATTCATTCATGGTATTTACTGGTGAATTGTTTTCACCAGTGGAAAAAAATAATCTATACAGTAAAATGAGCTATTCAAAGTATCACTGTTCTTATAAATCTGCAAGGAAGCGGAGCCACAGAATAGTTTTGAATGATTGCACATCGGTTTTGCATTTTACAGTGTGCGCCATGCACCTAGATCATAGTACCATTCCATGTGAGTTTAGACTTCCATGCATCCATTATCGGAAAGCAGCTCATCCCTGGATAGCGCCATGATAACCCTGAAGCTATCCTGGAAGTGTGGGGCAAAGGCTGGATTACACCCTGGATAGGACACTAGTCCATCACAGGGAACATAGTGGCACAAGTATACAGGGATAATCTGGTTGTGCCAGTTAACCAAGCCAGCACGCTTTAGAATATGGGAGAAACCCACGGCACCTGGAGAAACGTGATGTCATGAAAACATGAGAACAACATGTAAACTCCACACAGAATGCCACACTTCAAGATTGTCTAAAATACGCAGTATAACTATGTTAAAGTGAATAGTACTGTATTTGCTTGACCTAGTACACATTCTTGCCCATGGTAGCAGACTCCATTAATCAGCTGTGAAAATGGGTACCACAAATGTGTGATATAAAACTATAAGTTCCAGGTATATCCACATTGATGCAATAAGATCATGTCTGCTGTCATCTTCAATCTAGATGGAAATTGTCACAGTGTTAGTAAAAGCAAGTTTCTGGAAAAAATCTGACATTTGAACTGTCACCTGCTAATACTTCCTGAGTTATCAGAATCAAATCACTTTTTTTTGCTAAGTATGTTGCATGTACAAGAAATTTGATCAGTTGTCTCCGTGCAAAAAACATAGAAGTAATTCTATTCTACTTATAATAAAGAGGATGATGCCACTTTCCATTTTCCAGTGTTATGAAAATTAAACAGGAGGTATCAAATAGCCACCTATATATATTTAGTCATAGAATCCTGAAATCACTTCAGCACACTTTTTTGTGGTTAAATAAACCATTAAGTTTATCAGCAGTGTATGATGGGTGATGGGTAGGAAAAAAGATGTGACTTGGGCAGATCTAAGATGACACTTATACACATGGAAATCAACCAGTCAAAATCCATGCCATATATTTTTATTGCTTTTTTTAAAAGTCCAACCAGTTCGCTGTCCTATGACATCTCTTAGAAGCACAAAGTAAATAGTGCAGGACATTCTTCTTATCAAAAGTGCTTCCAGGCCTTGTAATTAGAATTCTAATATTGCCCAGAGAAACGAATTATATCAGGCTTAGCAAACAAATTGAAAGAAGAAATAGCCCTTTTCATTACAACTTGCGGGATGAATTCTGAACCCATCTTGAGGCCAAGATTAAAATCTGACATCCAGTAATTTGTTCCTTTGTTATCTGCCAGTTGGTTCTTGGAAGAAAGTTCATGACCTTCCATTTCAGGAAGTGGAAGCTATATTATTAACTCCTGGTGAAAAAAATACAGTTGACGTAGCAAAATTAGCAAAAAGTTGTTTTTGTCTTCATTTATATTTTACATATTAAGCATACATCAAAAACACATAATTGTGAGAGATGTTTTTCATGAAAACGTGAAACTATCCTTTTTTAGACTGATAAATATTTCTGAAACTGGCCTTATTGCAGCTAATAATTGCACTACCACATAGCTCCACTTGTGAAAAGCTGAGAACTTTAAGAGTTTGTAAAGGACTGTTGTCCTAGAACTGTTATTCTCACTGAACTCTGATTGACCTTAAAGGTTTTCCCAATGAAAGTTTGTCATGGTGTATTTATACACATGCTCTTATTTACTCATTTTTATATGTTTTCTTATGGTCTTACCACCTTTTCGATGCACATCACTAAGAACAGATTACATTTTAAGATAATAATGAATGATACATCATGTATCTCACTTCTCCCTGCTGTCTTGTGCAATCTGTACTATTCTGATGGGTGTGTACATATATGCAATATTTTTTGTTGGTGCTCCCTATGTATTGTGTGTTAGCTTGTTCTTATCTTCTAGAAGCACTTCGTGACTGTAAAATCAAGTCTCAAGGAGAAGGGTGGTGTCGCAGACTGATGTTGTAATTTGCAGTGAATATAAAGTAAGCTCATGGTGACTGCAGGTCTATACCTGAAAAGCAAGGTCAAGGTGTGATATTACCATATAAACTAGGCTTTGCCAGGTTACATTTTAGAAGTGTAACTTTGAATAAAGTCTGGAGAATAATTTGCACATAAGCAGGATTGCTGAGCAACTCACAATATTGCCAGCTGTTTTGTGAGGGGTTGTTAAGCAGTGCCAGCATGCTCCTATTGTCTTCTTGCAAGATTGTTAGTCTTGGCTACATGCCGTAAAATAACAAAAGAGATTGTAAGTAGGTGTTTGATGAATTAATATGTGGTATTGAGAAGGAAATTATGTCACGCTCCTACGATTACGGACAAAACTGCAAACAGGGAATGTACACAAGGGATAAAAAGGTGACACACAAGAATATAAGACAGGCTGCAAATAAAGGTAGGCTGCTGGGTCCACATCCTGCTTATGTGTTCAGCAAATCCATCCATCCATTTTCTTCCCACTTTATCCCATACAGGTTTGCGGTGGACCCAGAGCCTATTCCAGTAAGCAACAGGATACATTCTAGATGGGATGCCAGTCCATCACAGGGCACACACATCTACACCAGAGGTGATCTGTCAAGACATGGAGAGAAATATCTGTATTTTAGTGTGTCACAAAAGACATTATCAGAAAAAAGAATTCAGCAGAAGATCAAGGCTTAAGCAGATGTTGCATCAAATCCTGCCATTTCCTGAAATAATCCAGTTTACACAAAATGTCCGTTTACACAAATACTGATGAGTTGGGAAGGGTCCTACCTCCACCACCTGGGAAGCTTATTGGCTTCCATGCAAAATGCAAATCAAAAAGGTCAACCCTGTTTTGAAGTTCAGATGAGCCTCAGTAAAATGTCCTCAGCGCTGCCATTGTGAGGTGATAAACTCATTTGCATTGAAACTGCTTGGTCTTATCTGTTAGTCTCTGCCATTGGCTATACAATGGAACTGGTCATTCAAGTGAGTCACACTGCATTGCTAACAAAAGCATTTTGTAGATACCATCAACAGCACACTTCTTGTTTACTTATGCGAACAGTTTGCACTTTGGATTTTGCAGTAAGGCTGGAAGAGGGAGAGATAAAAATTATTTTCCGTTTGTGTTTAGAAATCTCTCTCTCTCAAGTAAACATTTGTTTGCGAAGACACTACACCAGGACATTTAGATGCATGTTCTTATATGTATTATGTAATGTCTTCTGTCATGGCTATATGCTATGGAAAGGTAAGTGAAATTTTATCCTAAAGAGTAATTTATCTGGAAAGCATGGAAATACTAATACTGGAGCTCTCTGTTAAGACATAATAAAGAATTAAACAATGAAGAAAGAACAATGAGCTAAACAAGCACGTTGTGTCTGACAAACAAATGTCTTTTTCATTATGTTTTTTTTTCTTCTAGATTCAAAGACAAAGAGGTTATGCTGAGATTGCACAATGCACTAGCATAGCAAGGCAAGAGGGGATCAACAAGCTCACCCCCAACTTCAAAATTCAATCAAAGACACAAAGCCATGGTTGACTTTTTGTACTTACACTGAACGACACATGAAAATAAAATCATTCAGAAAGGCTATGCGCTGCGGTTTATGAAATCTCTATGCAAACAGGCGGAAGTGTTTTCTAAAAGCACATTTCTCAACACGTACAGACCGGGGCCAGTGCCAATGTGGAGACAGACATCATTTGCAAGCCTTAAGCCCCCCAGTCAAGAGCTATTGGAAACATCTGGCAGAGGAAAGACAATGTATCCTTCAGGAGCCCAGTTCGCGGAATGAGGCCCCACTGACATTCCTCTTGTCCATATGCCACAAAATAATATACTGCAGCCCAGGAAATTAAAAGGCTTAGCTGAATCACAGGGTTATGTCGTTAGCATTGTTTTACACGATCAGTGAAGCTGGTCGATTGTCCTCTGTCAGCAATCCTCCTACCTTACACCTTTAACTTTTAGCATTTTTTTTTACCTGGCACACCTCCCCATAAATCGGGGGTCTCAAACTCATCCCCTGTAGGTCCTTGTCTTTTCTGTTTTTTGTTTCAACAAAATTTTGTTTTTGTTTGTTAGTTAGTTAAGCCAGCAGCTATATCATCCTGGAACTTGTAGCTGGAAGCCCACTGAAGCTCAGCAGGTGTGGAGTACCGGGGTGGGAGACCTCCTGGGAAAGCTTAGGTTGCAGCTGGAAGTGGTGTTAGTGGGGCCAGAAGGGGGTTCTCACCCTATGGTATGTGTGGGTCCTAATGTCTCAATATAATGAGGAAACTACACAGTCCAAAAGATGCCGTCCTTTGGATGAGATCTAAGTCCAGACTCTCTGTGGTCATTACAAAATCCCAGGGCCTTATGTGATGGTATAGAGGTTGACGTGGTGCATGTGGCTCTTTTTGTGGCAGTTCCCTGTACCAAACCCTTGCAAATGTTGAGCCCTACTTTATAAATCTAATCTCTCGTCCCTGCTGGAGGAAGTAAAAAGAGGCAAAGGAATGGCACAGGGCTACTAGGTAGGGCAAAATATGCTGGAGACCTGTTCCCCTGCAGTGGTGTGAAGGTCTAATGAGATCCTCCCCAAAATGCTAACATGGCTAATAGCTCAGGTGAATATGTTGGGGTCAATCATCTTATTCAACCCGTACAGATGAGAGAAGCATGTTGGAATGAAATCCTGCTCCAGAGCCAGCCTCTCAGGGATCAGCCATTCAACCCCAGCTGGCCTGAAGAAGGAGCTGCTGAGGGCAGAGAAAGAGCACCATCATAGCCCTTCAGGACCACTGCATGATTACAAGGGGCTCATGCTAAGGACCATTGCTGGCACTGTCTAGAACTGGCTGAAAGAATCCACTGTCTGCTGACTGTCTGCCCTTAATAGACATGAGCCTCCAAAGAGTACATGTACGGACATAAATGATGTAAAGGAACAAGTAATAGGTTCATTCCATGCTGAAAAAAACGAAGAAAGAAAACACAACGTTTCGGCCGTGGAGCCTTCTTCAGGTGTCACACATCGGCCGAAAGTCACTACAGTCAATCTCCATCACTTAGACTCCTCACTGAGAAACAAAAACCCATCAGGTATTTGGCAGGCAGACTGAAATTAGTGGAAGATGCAGTACATTTCATATTAATGGAAATATTTATTTTTCCTTTTACGTCTACCAAGCAATGTTACTCTTTTGTATCTGGTTTAATTCTTCTATAGGCACTGATTGTTGTTTCCTCTTTGCAGTGTGGCCCTGAGGAGGATTATTGGCTTCATGAAAATGCATTTTACTTTCTCAGATAAATATTTGTGCTTAATTGTTAGTGATTTAAGTAGCATTAACAATTCAATGGGGAAGAGTGGGAGCATTGTTTGGGGCTCTGGGAAGCACTCCAACATTAGTTTGTGTGTTTGTAGTTGAATAAATCATTGTCTTTTAATCTATTGTCTATTTATTTCGCCACCACCAGATCCTTCACAGCAGATTAAAGATGATGTGACCAGTGGATGTACTTTGTCACCTTTCACAATTACCTTGTACAATTGTACTTGTACTCAAGCTGCTGTCAGTATGAATATGTGACTTTTACTAAGCGTCTATTAAACTCTTAACTATTGCCCCCTCCTGAGCATAACAATATTTTTGCCATCTATATACAGATGTAATATATTGCCTCTGTAGAGCATGCCTGATCACTAAAGCATGTTATTTCCCGTAAGAAAGCAGATTATGCACTAGAGTCTTTTCAGTTCATATCCTGAACTGTGAACTGTGTACTTACATTCCTTAAATTAATGTTTGCATATTCTTTTCTCCTGCACAATGTATTCACTGACTACCAGATTGGCTCAATTTGGTTGAATGGTCTCTTCTTGTTTGTAACCATTCTTAAACTCTTAAAAAGGGAAAAATGATATTATCATAAATATATCAATCAAAAGATAAAGGCAAACAAATAAAACGTGAGTATAATGAGCTATACTGTATCACTTACTCCTCAAAATGGGCTGGTTTGCAGCAGTGTATGCTATAATGTTTCTTTAACATAAATGCTGATTTATGTGTCACAGAAATAGTCTTTTTTAATCTACATGTGAGATAACAGGCAGATTGTTGCCATTAAAAAAAACATGTTGGTACAATGACAGTATAGTTAAAGAAATATTAGAAAGTTTTACAGTAGGGATTTTAATCATTTCTGATGCTACATATTACCAATTGCTTTTAATATTGACAAAGTAAAAAATACACAAAAAGCAACCTCTACAATGTGCAAATGAATTTTAACACCCCTGACTGGGTGGAGTGGGTTGTGTGGCGATCTCTTTCACAGGTTTTCTTATTCCCTCTGTGTGGGTGGGTTTTTCACAGGTATTTTCAGGTATTTGGGGGGTTTTAGTGGGAGGTTAATGTTGATGATGTCCAGAATCTGCATTATGGATTTTAATTCTGTGCCACTTTGGTAAAATTATCCAGATTTCTTATTCCCCCCCCAAAAAAAAACATTCTGTCAATTACAAACTTTCAAAAAAATTGAATGTAATGTCAGTTACACAATACTTGTAACAAAAATGTTACTATTGTACTTTCTATATGTAATGAGCATTATGTGTTCATGTATGTCGGATTCTCAATAAATCTTTGAGCAATGGAACAAACACATATAGCGCTGTTTGCACAGTACTAGCTGTTCATGTATTAGTTATGTAACTATTTGAGCACCCAAACAAGCAGGGTGTTACTTGTTTTTTATCATATCGAAATGGGTGGCAAATTCAAACAGTTTGCTGGCCTTTCTTGGGTGTTTTCAAGTAGGGCCTGTCTAACAAGCTGTTATATTCATTTGTGTGATAACATAATCTACAAAGGAAGCAAATTATTGTAGGATTCCTAGCCCAACCCCTCCCTGTGACTCCTATCATCTACAAAATGTTTCTGTACAGGCGGGGGTTTATTTTCACTGTGATTTGAAATACAACCAGGGAAAGTGATTGCTTGAACACTCTGCCAGTTTGATTTCTTGGGAAATTCTGGTCATGGCTGGGAAATGACATGGCTCTGACTCAGTCTCCCAATATATCTGGGCAATAGAGCATAACCTGCACTTCTAATAGTCCGTTTTCCTCCTAGAGAGACCCTTCTATATCACCTTGAACCATGAGGCAAGAGAGATTAGACAACGTTTGAAAATGATCTTGTATGTAAACATAAGCACAAAAATGGACAGAATAACGTTTGTCCTAATGAAAAAAACAACACAACAAATCGCTGAACTGACACATCAGTCTTATTATATATACAATTAACATTTTACAATGTGCCTCTGGCCCTGAGATGGACTGGAGTCTCATCCAGGGTGTAATGGATGGATGGAAAGATAGAACATAGCTTTGTTCTTCCTTTCTCAGAACAATAAAATAAACCAAGTGCATCAAGAATACTTAAGGATTTCAAGATGGCCATTTGTGCCACTCCCTAGGAGTGAATAGTAATAATGGTAAATAATGAAGTGGGACATGTATATATCTCACTTATCCAGCATCACAGTATCACCACTTAAGTACATTGTGAGAGCTTTGTGATGGGGTCTGTTAATTTAGCCTCAAACAAAAGTTACACTTAGATGCCATAAAGCTGATTTGCTTTAGCAGCCCCAGTGGCTTAATGCTACATAATAAAAGACAGGAACAACACCCACAAACAGGATAAACCAGACCAATGTCTGCTGCATATTAAACGGTTGCTTTAATATGCAGCAGGGTTGGGTTGCTTGCTGCTTCAGGGACCAGCATCCTGTGTCTGACAAGATGGTTCTGTTGGAGGAAGTCAATCCTAATAAAGATATTGAAAGAAAAAGAAAAGAAAAAAAGAACCTAGAGCAAGACAAGAAGTAATTACATATCAAAGAACAGGATGAGCACTCAGATTGTGAAACAAACTTTCTTCTGACTGTATATAAGAGCTGGGAAACCCTTGCAGTTTGTCTGTTTTGTGGGGCAGACCCAGCAGTGTCCTGCTCCTCTGATGAAGAATTTCCCACAACAAATAATTTCTGACACTTATATAGGACTTTTCCGGACACTCCACTTCAAGCACTTTACAACGTGTAGCCCCCACCTGGATGATGTGCCAGTACACTCACCACACACCAGCTATCAGTGGGGAGGAGAACAGGGTGATGAAGCCAATTCATCAAGGTCTCAGTTCCTCTTTTAGCTCTACCTACATTCCTTCTTTCTGACCTCGTTATGTAGTGCAGCCAGGCAGCTATCCAGCTTTTCCAAAAACAACAGATCTCTCACAATTCTTAAAGTTCTTTTAAAAAATGACCTGATGTCTGTGTGGGACTTAATGCCCCAGTATAGTGATATGGACACTATACTGTACAAAATACACACTCCTAAAGATGAGATATAAATCGGCAGTCAAAGCGTTAAAACTCTCTTCGATCATTAAAATTCCCAGTAAGCTTCTCAAAAAAAGCAGAAGTGTTATCGTAGTGTCCTGACCAAATTTCCGTCTTGAATCATGGTCACCTAATAATCCCAAATATGAATTGGCTTCATCATTATGGTGGTTGCTTGTGGTGGAGGGGAGTCCCCATCACCTGTCAAGCTCTTTGAGTCCAATAAGAATAAGAATAAGAATAAGAATAAGAATAAGAATAAGAATAAGAATAAGAATAAGAATAAGAATAAGAATAAGAATAAGAAAAAGATTCCAAGAACACACAGTGCTAGGATTACAATAAAAAGATTAAAAAAAGTATATTGAGATTTTTCCATGGCAAACTGTTTCTACTGACCTGTACTGAGTCCAGTAGAATATCTGTGGGATCAACTTAGAAGATCCATCCAAAGGTGACGACCATGGCCAGCCAGCCATCTCGGTGCACCAGCACAAGAATAATAGTGTAACATCTCACAGCAGTCTGCTGATCATGCATCAAAGCCGTTACAGCTAATACTTTCATAATGATTTCTCATTTGTGATGTTTCTATTATATTATTGTGGCAGTTTCTGGTTTAAACCCATTAGACTGGGGACATTTTGAGCATCAGTACATACTACCTCTTTCAGGGTTCTTTTATCTGGTTTCTGAAATATTTTTATGTTTTGGAAAGATTATCAACAGTCCAAGTAGTTTGTGCATTGGCTTGATACACTCATGCACTGCAGGAATATAGTTTAAATTAACCACTTTAATGTGACAACCCTTTCTCTCAGCTGTGGCATGCAAATAGAATCCTTTGATCATTAGATTTCTGTTTTTAGAAATGCCTCGAAAAGAGAGTCTTAATACTGCAGGGGGTGAGACGGCAGGCAGCATGAGTTTCCTGTAAATGAAACAAAAGTCAGCGCTTAGCATTCCAGAACAGTCTTGTCTGTATTAAAGTGAAATCTGAGGAAGTGTCTGAGGCAGGGGAACTGCGTCTTACCCTTAGTGCAGGAGAAGAAAAGGCACTCATTATACTCTTAAAGTAATTATTATTGATGTTCCTAGAATGGATGAAACAGTGGTAGAATTCACTATACGACTACAAATGCGGTTCATTTTCATACCTGCACATGTAAGTGACCTCTTCTTCGCACAATACAAATATTTCCCTCAGACCTTCACAGACTGTAATGTAACACTGTTAACATTCAGAGGCAGATTGGACTCAAGGCAAGCAATGATTATGATCATACTGTCATCTGTAGAAAACATCATGTGCCCAGGTCCCAGTTTCCAGAAGAGCCTGACCCTGTTACTGTGCTAGTGTAAGTAGGTATTCCTGATCGAATCCAGAGGGGGATCCAGCAGGGTGTTAACAGGTGCACCAGGAACTCCTCACGTCCGTCTTGTCAAAACTGTCAAAACATCCTGGACACCTCAATCCCTGTCTCCACCCCCAGACACATTTGGCAAAAAGCCGTGTGCTTGTGTTGGAAAAAAACAGAATGTCCTTATGCTTTAAAGCTATTTTTTTTTCTGGAGGGACAGTTTTATTCATCTCCTCTAATGCAGCACCACACTGTACAGGACACCACATGATTTTCATTTTTATTTTAATATCAGTACATTTACTTATATCTCCAGGAGAGTAATACATAAAGATTACAAATGTGCTGAAATCAGTAGATTCACAGAGAAATTGAGGGCTAAGTTGGAATTTACAGTGGTTTATTCTAATACTGCATTAGGTAGTCTTTTGTGCTGCTGGGTGAATATGACATTATTCCACTGAAATACATGATTCTGTGCCAGTGGAAAGCATCTACTTAATATTATGCCTGACATTAGATTTCAGTAATGATGCATTTAAATGGATCTTGTCATGTTAAGTGTGAGAAAACAAAAATTTTCCTTCTGCCATTAGGGTGAGTGCCCTATTCAGAGGATTTTATAAATTATAATCACATCATAGAAACATCACAACAATGATTGAATGGAATAGCCTGCAGCCACTTCTCAGTTGGATAATGTTTAAAAGCAGATACACATTAATCCTCTTGTTCCCTAAGTAGCTGGTGTGATCTGTACCACTCCTTATGTTTTTATGAATCATTTTCAGTGTTTAATCTCCTCACCTCCCACATTCAGTTCTGCTTTTGTTGTACTCTGGCTAACTTGTAATCTCCCTGCAAACACAGTGACAGATACACCAGGTGTAGCTAAAGACTCTATAGAACTCTATATAAATACTGTATCTGTCAGACTGGGAGCCAGTTGCTATAGGATAAAGAAAGACTATTAAATTTAAGAAAATACAATTCATTATTTATCAGATAGTTGAGATACAAATGTAAATGGATCAGCAGGCTGCACAGGGAAACATACTTTGAATTCCTTTATTTGTTTTCATGATATTCTGATATTCTGGGAATAATTCATATATCCAATCCACAGTTGAGACTAAATAATTTTTCCAATAGAAAATACTGCAAGCCCTGAAGTACTGTGGGCAAACAGGATAATTCTATCTGGAGAGGGGTGGCTTGTCTTAATAAGCTTTCAACCATACTTGCCTGTTTAATGTCTGTTTCTTATATTTTGATATCTTATTTTCTGAATAGAAACACTTATAAGCTCTCTTGTGTGCTTCACTCAATTACTGAGTGAATCTAATGCAGAGATTCTCAGTATTGCCTCAGAAAGGGACTTATTTTAGAGATGTTTAATCTCTGACATACCTGAAGAAGGCTCCATGGCCAAAACATTGTGTTCTCTTTCTTCTTTTTTTCAGCATGGAATAAACCTATTACTTATTCCTTTGCAGCCTACGTATGCTGACACAGCTACCCACCTGAACTTTTTTTAGAGATACCTTGGTGGTGGGCCTAATCTAAATGGAATGCCATCCTTAGATCGTTGGATAAATTAAAGGGAACTGGAAATGTTTAGTCTTGAACACAGAAGATTGCACAGGTCCCTGATTTTAAACGTCAAAATCCTCAAAAGGGCACTGACCAAGTCAGTTCAAGATCAAAAGTAACATAAGATCCACATAAGATCAGTAGTAATTCAGCATGGGACCATTCATAAAAATATAAGGACTTAAAAAAACATTTGCAAATGACAGGGGGATATTTATTTCACTAATTCTTTTGATTTATAGTAAAAAAATTTGTCTGATGAACTCATCCAGTTATTCTTGAAAGAAGCAATAGTGCACATAACAATCTGACTGGGTACGTTTTTCCAGACTCCTAAAACGCTTTGTATAAAGATGTGCTTCCTTTTTCAGTTTTAAATACACTTCCCTCATGTGTTAATTGATTCTGAAGAAATCATAGGGTTACCTATGGGTTGCCTTTGAGGTATGTGAATACTTGAACACGGCAACAAAAAGCCGGTACAGCATTCCTCTGAGGCCACAAACGTATCTAGCTGATCTTCTCTGGACTGATTCCAGAACAGCAATATCGGTTTTGTAACACGATGACACAAATTGTGAAATATGCAATACCCTAAATGAGGTCTAAGAAGTTCATTGTAACCTGTAGTCCGGGCTCAGCCAGGCCCTTTTTGGAGGTGAAGCCTTGCTGGAGATAAGCCAGAAGGAGGAAAAGGGAAAATGAGGAGAATTTCCAACTGATGCAAGAACTTGAGTACTAAAGGATAGACCTATAGTCTATGACAATAGTCTATAAAGGTCTATCAAGTGGTTCCCAGTCTTGGTCCCGGTGACCCTCACACCTGCTGGTTTTCTTTCCATCCCACCTTCATTTGATATTTGAAGTCTTAATTGATCTAAGAAGTTGCTTCATTGGAATATTTGCAGTTTGTTTCTAGTCACAAGTTTGGGATTTCATTTCACTTACGAAATACTACGGTTAAAGCTCCAACACATTTAGGAGCTGAAAACAAACAGTTCAAATTAATCTTATGATTAAGTCACCCAAGGGTTTGACTGTGTAACTGAGGGCTCTACTGGAACAAAAACTACCACAACGGGTCTGGGAGACACACCAGGACCAGGATTTGGAACCACTGCTCCACAAGATACAAATACAAATCTATTGGAGCAGTGATACGTGCTGAAAAAAAGCACAGAGACATGAAGTTCATGCAGACTGCAAAGGGTGTAGCAATGGCAGGGGGAGATTAAGGTGCTTTCGAAACAGATTCCCATAGACACAGTGCAGAAGAACTGGGTTCAGGAAGTAAAGAATATAGCACAGGTTGTTTTCAGCCTGCACACCAGAGAAATGCTGGGAATTGGTCAAGAAGGCAGAAGAGCATGGAACACCTTATAGGCAGTGCAGAAGTCTCCATATTGGAGGACATTAGGAGAAATGTGGCTAGCCAAGATGGCCAAATCTCCGAGCCAGCAGAAAATGACCAAGCTGGAACGCAGCAGCTTGGGGTTAGGAATTGTTGGAGGAAGAAGAAGGTATGGAATTGAATTTTAAGTGTTTGTGAATTTCTTTTGCAGCCCTTGCTCATCCTTCTATTTTGGGATAATCTGTGAGGTTCACTAACTCCTCTAGTGGTACTTTGGCTCTTTTTTCAGTCTATAGCCATCTTCAGGGAGGCCTGCCACAGTAGGGCTCATATCTTTTGCAATGTTTGACAATATTAATGCCCTGATTGCACCTTTATCTCAGCACAAATCAATACACCATCTGGTATCTCTTGGTTCTGCAGTAATTGTAATCCTGTGATGTGACATGCTGAAGATGAAAGGCTGGTTGATTGCTTTATCTGCCTGCTTTGTTAACATGTAAGGAATGCACTGACAGAATAGTCTGCAAAACCTTTTTTGTGATAGCAATTTTCTCATCTCTTTCTCTTCCAGAAAATCACTGTGAGTTGCATGAGGACAGCCACGTTCTGGCTTTATCAGAATGGATTTCAGAAACATTAAAGACTTGTTTTTTAAAAATAAAATCCTTTTATTTGCACAAAGCATACAAAGGCATACACTTTTGTGGTGGAAACCCAGTGTACCAATATTTTTTAATGGTTACATCAGATAGAACCTCCCATCCCTCTGATAATCTCCAAAACTGTCATTTTGGAAATAACAAAACTTTTATCTGTTGCAGTTAACCAATCCTTCTGGCATCTATTATGTTCAGTTTAGTCATGGTTGTGCGCCAAAACCATAGTGCACTATAGTACAATGCTTACAATTAATCATAATGCACTCCAGTAACAATGTTTACAACCGATCATAATGCACTCTAATACAATACTTACAATTGACCTTTTTAGATTTGTCATTTCACTGATGTGACCCTGTGCTACTTTAGATCCATTAAGAGTAAGCATGCTCTCTACGTATAAATATGTGAAGAGCGGTTCCACACTGAGCCACCCTGGTGTGAAACTGCCTCTAGAGAATAAAACCAGTATTGGTATTTGGCAAGACAGACAGATGGTTTTGGCATTCATGCCTAAACACCAAAACAACAATTTCATTATCCCTCATTATATCAGAACTCTGCACATGAAGCATTTCAGTTAATGACCTCATTCTTCATCTTATACCTGAAAGTGGAAAGCCCAGTGGCAGTGGTTAGATGTTGGTAAGCTACAATGACAGTATGTTGAGTATCTGTAGGGTGGTTTCACACACTGACATCAAAATTGTGCTATATAGACTCCGATCTTCTCAGCGTCACAGTTCAGCATCGCATGGCTGGGATGTGACCATGTGGTCATTGTGTGTGCAGTTTGTTGATAAACAGTAATTACAGAGAGGAACCATCTGGCTTCTTTTTTATTTTTGTCCCAGAATCCAGATATCGTTCCCAGAAGCTGGATTAAGTATCTTATTTAAATACATACTTAATATATATATTTTCCAGAATTACAGGAACATCAGCCAAAACAAAGAAAAGTCCAGACTGAAAAGCATTACTGAGCTAACTTGTTTGGAAACAAAGCTCTGTCTGCAGCAAGCTCAACACATTCCTTCAC